CTTGATCTAATGATCGTCGAAGGTTGATTTTTCGGGGTCTTTTGCAATTTGCAAAGTCCCACTCTGTGCCACGTATGGCTCTAGTTTCTAAATTGTAGTCATATAGCATTAAGTTAGTAGGGTCTATTATTACAGATCACTGAGGTATGTCAAAAAATTCTCTTCGTTTAAATTTACTAAACTTGATTGAATCACAAAAGAAACCTAAACACATTACTTCTTGGTAATCTTAATATGTAATCGCTGAAGTAGAGCGAATGTGCTTTTTTTAGAATACGAACGCCCTTAATTAAACTAACTGTATTGTCTTCATTGGAGAAGGCATTCCCTACTACCCTAAGAAAATGATTTGTACCCACAATAATTGTACCTCAAGTTCATTTATAACAAACATAGCAATATGATTTTGATACGCTTTTGCCAAAATGTGTGCCAGAATGCGCCTGATCAATTATACAAAAATTTTATTGGAGGGAACCATCTCAGCGCTCCATCGCGTCAATTCGCGAAGACTCATTTTGATTCTCAACGTCCCCATCAATTGTCTCCCCCCATTAAGTCAGCCTGCCTCCTATTTGCACCCCCAGTCTATGAAGGCTGGCGCCGCCATTGATTTTCTTTCATTTACACACTGCAATGTTTTTTCGATCTTTACTAACTGAATAAGTTGTGTATAGGAACGACGTAAATTTGAGCACTTATTCCCCCAAATCCAATTCATGTCCATACATTATATTTTTTCCTACACCAGTAAGTACTTACATTCAAATATCATATCATCAGCACAAGTACATATAATGCATTATACATTAAAGAACTTAATTCATTACATGGAAACAAACATTCAGCAACTCTGACAGTTTCTATAAAAACTGATACTACCTCGAGAATAGAAAGGACAAATTCTTGTGTCTTCTGTCTTGTTCTTGTTATTTATAAAAACCTGCAGTCCCGAAAATATGTTTATGCCGTTTAAAAGCCAAAACCAAGTGAGAATGGCCGGTTAAAATTTCCATCATTAAACATCATGATGTCTCGTCTGGTGTTAGCGAAACTTTCACGAGGCTGTTTGTTTTGTACGTTATAAGCTGAATGATGAGCGTTTTCGTGTCGGTTTAACTACTAATTATTGTCTTGAGATTTTTATGATTAACAGAGTTGTCTTCTCCTCAATCAATCTCGGAAGTCGGTTTTGTTTTAACCTATCCCCAATTTAACTTCGCCAACAAATTCGTTTTTGAAAAAAGGAGCAAATAACTCCACAGTTCTTCGGCTGACTTGCAGACCACAGCTACATAATATCCTGTCATGTTTTATAGACTCAAAAATAGGTTTTGTTTTTCAAGATTTAAGTATTTTCAGACAAAAAGAAGCCAGAAATTTAATCGTGGTCTGGAAAAGTTCCCCGCATCACACACTGCATGGTGTTTATCGTTTTTATCTATCCAAACTGTAGTAGAAAATTAGGATGTAAAACATCACTTTGTTTCAATTCGGGGACGTGAGACGGATAACATTGTGACCTAGACTAATATTTAAAATTCCAATAAAAACAATCTAAAGTATTTTGATTATTTGCAAATCTCACACGAAATCTTAATTTGAAAGAAGAATGCTGTAAGAAAATTACATAATGACGTCTGCAATGTTAAGATAATGATCAGAAACAAACGTCATAGATCACGTCGTCTGCCCAGAGAGTAATCTCCAATCCAAATTCATTATCAACAAGAGAAATATCAATATTGAGATATTAGCATACGACCAGGAAACTAAACAGGACAGACATAACTTTGTCTCAAATAACTTCAAATGATGAAAAGCTATAGATCATTAGAGCATTTCCATATCAGAGAGAAATTCGTTAAGTGCTAGCTTATATTTGCATCATAAGGTGCACATTTTCCAGACGTTTCAATAATGATCATACGTGATCAAATAGCTAACGGAATGTGATACTGTCGCAGTGAGCCGCCATTGATCTAAAATGAAAATATGCAAGAGGCTTTGAAGTGTTTACTCTGGAGCTGTGGGTATACGAATATCAATGACAGATAAAATTTATTCTCTGTAATCGAAATATATGTGTAGAACATGACAAAATAATAAAAAAAAATTTCAACAACCGATGATTCAAGTCGAAGAAGAATTTTCCCACCCGTCTGAAAAGGTCTCTCAAAGGTACAGAGAACTTTGCATGGAACAATGACAGTTTTCCTTAATGCGAAGTGAATGATTTGAAATCGATTTTACATCCAGTGTCGTGTTCTCATTTTAATTGTTGCATATTTTCACGATCTGAAATTTGAATGAATATTGCCTTAAGAACGAAAATATTGAAGCAAATCTTCACATCATTCACATCATTGTATATATTTTACAAATTGTAAAGGAAACCGTTCACAGCCTCTTACATGCAGGGCATGGGATTATGTTGGTTGGTAAGATTATCCTTTAGATTCAAACTGACGATTGTTCATACTTACATTTTAGGAGTAACATGATGACACTCTGTGTTTATCACCTTTTTCAACAAATCATTTCAGTTCAAAAACAACGTTCCAAAAACTTTTTCTAGTAGGCTAGATGTTTGCAGATTATCCACGATATAATCTGTTGCACCAACTTTAACTTAACATTCCTGCTTCAAGAGAAATACAACTTTGACCACTCAATAGTATAAGTATGATTAAGTTTAAAAAGCTTTTACAAAAAGTTTCGCTTCACTTGGGTTGGGGTTTTTTCGTAAAGTTTTCAAATTCAGAAACTTCCAGCACTGTAGTTCTTTATATAAAAAAAAATAACAGTGTATGAACTGAGTATGATTTCAATTTGAAAATTTGTAAAATAATAGCAAAATCGTTAGCTTAAGATTATCTTTTATCAGGTTATGTTGTGGCTAACTGGAGATTCGGGGTTCATTCCTGGCGTAAGTCGTAGTATAAACCTTGTCAGTGATGCAGGTAAGGCGGAGCCCCGTGTGCAACAAACTTAACAGATCCATCGACAGTTGAAAATTGGAAACACAGTTGATCATCGCCGCAAAAGTTACCTCATAGACTCGCAGCTTGGTGTTACTTGCTTAAATGGCAGCAAAAAGACAGTACGGTCAGCAGATTGTCCTTCTTTCTATGCCCTATATAAATACTCATGTAGAATTTCACCCTGGTGATCTGCACGGTGATATAGCAGCAGAAATATTTTAACGATTTGGTTAACGACTGGTTCTCAAGGTCGGTGTAGGTCAACTAAATATTGACCTATAAAAAACTTACCTTAAATGTTGGCACATCTAATATAAAACACGTGCCCTGGGAGAATTGGGTTGTAGGAAAGGATAATGGTTCGTCTACAATTAAAGATTAATTGAAGCTACACAAATTTGTTTACTTAGATAGATAACAGTCTGCTTGTAGAATCACAGTACAGAAACTGCACTTATTTTTGTTTCAAAAAGAGAGTGGACCTTACTCTGACATCGGTAATGATTTGATTTGTCTGCGGCTTTTGACACGATTGATCATCAAAAACTGATCGAACGTTTTTAGAGTAGCTACGGCTTACGGCGCTCCTATCTGTGTGATATGCCAGATAATATAATGTTATTATGAATTGACATCAATAAGACTGTCTTTATTATGTTTTTCTTTGAATGTAGACAAACTGTAGGCCGGATTTTCATTCTGAAAAATGATAATGGCAATTGAAACTGAAACTGATACTTATCATTTTAAAATGCAATACTCTCCTTCAAAACTTAAGATTTGTATGACTAAATAAAACGTCAGTATCGTGTCAAAAAAGTGTTTTGTTGGCTTCTTGTGTATCCTCAATGCCCCTTTCCATGCTCTATTGCAATAAATTATGCAGTCATGTTAATAGGGGGGTAAAAAGTTAATTGAGGTTACATGTCTGTTTATTTCCCACTAATGCTCCATGGGCTCAAGGGATTTAAACTGTTGAAGTTTTCTGGAATTACATAAACTTTGGGACATGCGGGGTTGAGTCAGAATGTTGCCATGAAATCCAGAACAGTAACTCATTTTGGAGGCATAGACAGTGGAAACACCCAAATCTGTCCAAATTTAGGGTTTTGCATCATGCAATTAATTCTCAGCTTCAGGTTGACCAGTCGACCCCAGAGACCCGTCTGAATTTCCTCCATTTACTTAAATAACTGGTGTTCAACATATTATACAAAGGTTATAAATTTTTGATTCGTTTTAAAGAAAACTTGATAAATATATAGATGTAGGTCCTATTGTTACTGTTTTAAAACGTCGTGTTCCTTCTTCTCTTCCCTTTCTATCGTAATAATCTATTAAAATCTATTTGAGCCATAATCGTGATAGAAACAAGCCAAGAGATAGTACATATTACAGGTAACTTGTTAAATGACAGGTATGACGTTAAGTCACGTGATAACTAGAGCTGTCAGATCGTTAAAGACTTGCCGTGGTATATCAAATAGATTATATGAATACGGTGGGCAGGAGAGTCGTGCCACACCCCAAGGTGAATGAAAATCTCCATGATTTGGATTTAACTTGGCTAATTTGGATTTAATGTAGCGTGATCGAGTTTGGACATCCAGTGAACCGAATGATATTTACCAAGTTTGGGGTGTTAACTTTATATTATAACGGTGTTCGATTAACAACGTGAGAATGTCTCAAATACAGTAGCCGTTGATAATCTGTTGAACGAGAGATTTGGAAATCAAAGGGATTAAGGATTATCCGGTGTAGGAGATGCACCGGGGATTAAAAGAGGAACAAGATAATAATTCTGATTCTAATTCCATCATGCCTGCTGATATTAACATTTTGTGCAACGGGTTCGATTCCTTGAAAATGAATGGTAGAGACAATTTTTATGAAAATGAATTCGGGGATGATAGACGAAGATCCGACAGTTCTTTGAACTCGATTGGTTCATTGGGCTCTCCGAATTCCCCGCCACCTAATCTTATAGAAATCAAAGAGCAATTCCATACCAATATGACAAATGGCTATGCCAATCGAGCAGAGTCAACATTTGCTGGAAGGAGGGATGTTAAAAGTCCTGCAACTCTTGCAGAACGACAAATTGTCAGTGCCAGAGGAACTGTCCGTGGGTTTAAAAACAGAGTGAGAGCGGGGATAGCCACATTTATTGAACCATTTTCAGAAAAGGTAGGGTGTTTTTTTTTTATTTTTGTCATACCAATTTATATACTTCCTCATATATAAACACTACTGTAAAATGAGCTAATATTTATTATTAGTTATTTAGCATGCTAATATTACTTACTATCCTGCAATATATTCGGCAATCATAGTCATTTTTATAAATAGGTTTAATATTTCAAAACAAATAGGTTTATATATATTAAATTTATTTATGTTTATTTATACCAAAACATGTAGGATTACTTATTACTTAAAAATGCATTTAAGTTTTTGTTTTATTATAATGCAATCATCTAGGTTTATTATATCAAAAGATAGGTTTATATAATATGTTAGGTTTACATTTTTTATTCATTATGTCAAAACTTTCAGGTTCACTTAAAACATAACAATGCATATTTTTATTTTAATGCAATTCATCTAATTTTTTAGTAATTATAATGTAGGTTTATTATTTCTAACAGCTATATATTATATTATTAGGTTTATACAGGTTTATTTAATTATATAACTTAATTATATATGTGACTTATTATATAAACACTTCACAGGTGTATTTTTCATTTATTATTTAATAGATATAGAGTTATTATATAGAAATATTAAAACAGAACCTAAAAAAATATGTTGTTCTTACTTGTTGTTATATCCCTCTACAGTTGATGTATTGAGCGCTATTTTAACAGTGAAAATAATTGATTGTATTGTACGTAGAGTTATTATATAAAAAAAAATAGGTTTTTATTTAATGTAGGTTTATTAATTATAATGTAGGTTTATTATCCAAACAGCTATATATATTATTAGGTTTATATGGGTTTATTTAATTATATAAGAAGACGTAACTAATAGGTATATTTTTCATTTATTATTTTATAGATGTAGAGGTATTATATAAAAAAAATAGGTTTTTATTTAATGTAGGTTTATTAATTATAATGTAGGTTTATTATCCAAACAGCTATATATATTATTAGGTTTATATGGGTTTATTTAAGTATATAAGAAGACCTAACTTATGTAATAGGTGTATTTTTCATTTATTATTTTATAGATATGTAGAGGTATTATATATAAAAATAGGTTTTAATTTAACGCAATTGATATAGGTTTATTAATTATAATGTAGGTTTGTAATTTCAAACCAGTAGCTTTATATAAACAGATATATAAGGTGTATAGAAGTTTTTAATTTAAATTGATTGAGGATAACTTTGATATCTTAATATTCTACCCTTACATGCAAACAAACAATACAATTCAGTGTACAATGAGGTCAACTTTAATAAAACAGATTGGCCATTGATTTAATTGTAACATAATCTATTGTGTTTGCACCCTATTAGACAATGACATACAGTGTACAATCAGGTTTATATGACCCTCTATCTTTAATTGTATCAATGTCCTGAAGGTTTATAGCATTGTTTGAAACGAGATGAGTAGAGTTGATTTATAACAGGGTAGTTTTTATAAGATAACAATGTTAATCATCATATTATAGTATATAAGAAAAGTAATTGATTTATGATGGTGATATGATGTCATATACATAAGATTTGAACCACACTTAGAAGTGGAGAGAAGATATAACAAAAAATACAAGTGGTATATTATGGTATAACTCACTTCTTTAATAACAAAGTACATAACGTTTCAACACAATTTACAGTGTCAACACAATTTACAAGTGTCCTCCTCTGATGAAACATTATGTACTTTGTTATTAAAGAAGTGAGTTATACCATAATATACCCCTTGTGTTTTTTGATGTCATATACAGTTAGATTAGTAAATGTCAGTAAATATTTTTGAATGTATAAATGTTGAAATAACAACTTAGATTCATTTTCAAACTAACTGTTGAAACTGATATACTTCAGAATGCATATTTCAATGTCAAATTTCCAAAACTTTTTTGCCTCTGACAACCCAATTTTAATTCTGAAAACTGATACAAGTATAGACAAACATAATATGCACTTACAGGGATAGGTGCCAGTTTTTTGACCAATCAAACTTTAGTCTTAGAAACGAAAATATTTTAGCTAAACCAATCACTAATAGTGTTACCGTCGAAATTTGAGCCTTCAATCCCTGTGTGCCCAGAATTATCTGCGCTTGTATGTTAAAATGAGAACTCATCAATTTAAGATACTCTGTGATATATAGAAAAGACATATATAGGAAAAGTGAGTAAAATTCCTAGTTTGAAGTATTTTTAAAGGAATTATACAGTTTCTACATTTCAAGTACCTCTAATGACTATCTAAATATATTCAAGATTAAAATCAACCCCCTAAAATGGTGCATCTGTCCCTTTAATGATTAACAGAAACAATCGTTAGTCAAACCTATTGGCATTGCAAATGGATATTACCAAGCAAATGATGTCATGTAAAGTTTGCAATAATCTAACCGACCAAGCTACAGAACCCACTCAAATTAATAATCAAGGTTACATCTGTTGGTCACATTATATCCTGAGGCAATTAGACAAGCAAAGATATCATCTCAAAACCATAAAAAATATAAAAGAATTTTAGTCAGACATATAAAATGCATTATTTGAGTACTTATCTTTATGAATATTCATATTTTATGATAGTAAATGTGGTCAAGGCTTGACCCTATGACCTTAGGCTATGAATTAATATTCAAGAAATACCATTAATATTTAATCTTGAATACTGTCACTGAATTAAACCTGTTGTCTGATTGGGTCACTGATTTCAGATTCACTGAAATTAATATATTGTATGGAGATTAACTTTGATAAAATTTGAAATTTTAACCCTTTTCAGAATTTTAATCTAATCATACACTTTGGTTGATTTGACATTATAAAATCAAACAGGCAATCAGGTTGATTTGATATTATAAAATCAAACAGGCAATCAGATTGATTTGACATTATAATATCAAACAGGCAATCAGGTTGATTTGACATTATAAAATCAAACAGGCAATCAGATTGATTTGACATTTTAAAATCAAACAGGCAATCAGGTTGATTTGACATTATAAAATCAAGCAGGCAATCAGATTTGTCATTGTAATATAGGTTGATTTGACAATCTAATTCATACAGGTAACCATTTTGAGTTGGCATTGTAATTCATATAGGCAATCAGGTTGTATTATTTCATATAGGCAATCAGGTTGAATTGACATTAAAATTTCCTATTGCGCTTTGGTTGATTTGACATTGTAATTCATATAGACAATCAAGATGATTTGACAGGGAACATTGTACCAGACATCAGACCTTAATTGTCTATTTTCACCTTCAGAATGGTTGACTTTATGGTTTGTAGGTCAGTCAACTTTTATTGTTATAATGTAAATATAAAAATTGATTGTTGACAACAAATATAATAGTACAGCCATTTCTATTCTAATTTTCATTGATTTTATGATTTTCTTTTTCATTTCTTGTCTTGATTAGTAATTAAGGTAGTGGGTGAGTTGAATAATGAATGACTTCTGCTAAGAATAATCTGATTCAGATAGAATCAGGGCACTGTAAACTATTTATCTATTGTTATTTACTATGTACAGTTTATGACTTTGTTTAAAGGGATTGTAAAACGGTTTTCTAAATTTTTCAGTGAATTCAAGAAGGGCCTTATCTGATAAAGCAAATTTAACTAGTGACATCATCAAACACAGAAATTTAGAATGGTGCAATTTGAAGCTATCAGTGTCCCGGATACATATAAATTTTCTAGATAACATCTTTACAATCTCTTTCAGGAACACTGGAAGCATTCATTTGCACCGTTCCAATTTTCAGTCAGATGTCTGTGATTCTTGCAATTCCACTACTTGACTCATACTTTTACAGCTTTGGATATGGTTTTGAATGATACTTTCTGTTGTAGCTTCAAAACTGACAACAACTTTGCAAATTAGAATTTTTATCTGGGATGTCACGTTTAATGAGTGCTTTGATCACATTTTTTGTGTTGTTCGAGACACATGTTAACTGTTGTTTTGTTATATGGCTACATTTTAACCAATTGCGTGCACTTTTATTTTCTGATGTCGGCTATAATGGGGGTCGTTTCAACACCAAAATGATGTTGTAAGTCTTCATGTTATGAACTTTGGGTGAAAGAAAATATAAAACTGTCAAGAGTGGACAATAGTTTCAGTACAAAATACTCATAATCTACCAATTTATATAGTTATTTTCACATGATTTCACCTACCCAAGGACTTCAGTTCTTATTGTATACATTATTATATGAATATTTCCTTTATAGTCCGTTATATATACAGATAGCAGGTGGAGAGTCATCCCTGGGATCAGCCCCTTCCCCCTTGTGATATATTTTGACCAATGATGTTAAATTATTACAATATACAGACTGCAATGATGTATGTCCTCAATGATATATCATGTCAAATACTTAAGCCTCCCCCCTCCCCCCCACTTTTTTAACCAGCTTTTGGCAAGAGCTATGTATAGCTGTTGACATCAATATATGGTATAAAAGTTGTATAGATATTTATTTTCATCAGTAGAATACTAACAATGATACAAACCTTATTTACCTTAATCAGACAGAAAAGGATGGTAAATTGATAGGTATGATATAAAAATAGATCTATATGATATAGCACAAATAATATGCAGTCAAGCTTATTAAAGGGAATCTATATAAGATTTTCTAGTCTTTGTATGTGTAACAGCAATCTTATTAAAAACCTTTTTCGTTTTCGATATTTTGAGTCTTCCCCCTCTGCCCCCTCTGCCCCCCCTTTGGCTCCGCCACTGCTATCATGGGACGAGGTAGGAAAAATTGCTAGATTAAACTTGAGGACTAAAGATATCAGTAAACAAAAATGATACAAAAACAACATTATAATCTTATTTTAATCAAATTGATGTAACAGTGATTCTTATAGCTTCAATTTGCACCATTTCATTGTTTTTTTTTTTTTTTTAAATTCTAATAGACCAGATTTCACTTTAAAGCAAGAAATATTGAATGATT